AAGGAGTACATACTCTCTGATTCCATTTGTGTGAAGTTCAGGATTATAACTTTTAATGAAAGGCTTTCATGACAATTTGATTTTGCGTGCCTAAGATGTTTGGGGAAATTTCTTCTACTTTCAGAACAATTCTATAAAACATAAGATGGCAAAGAGGTGGAATAAAAATTGATGCTAGCAGTTCAGCTTTGTCTAAGTGAGAAACATTTACTTAGCATTCCTTGTTTCTGCAATGAGTAATGGAATTATGTGATATCTCATTATTTCCTTTCCTTTTGTTTCCTCTTTGGATTCTAATTCATAAGAGCTAATAATGTAGCTAAATGCCATGTACAACAGTCAGAAGGGCACTGCAGAGTCAGTGTGTTCATACAAAATCAGACCTAACTTAGAATGATTTTGAGTTGCTTTCTCAAAATAAAATTTCTGAATAAATTACAGGCAGTATTAGAAAGCAGATGATTTGTTCTTATTGCCACCATTTTCAATCACTACTGGCAGCCACTCTATTCATTTTATCATTTTATCCATTTCTGTAGTGATAAAAGCATGAAGTCATACCTGGCAGATAAAACTGTACAGAACAGATTAGTGATCACCAGGGGACATGTATGAGGAAGGACAGGGAGGCTACAAATATAAAGGGTAGCACCAGGGAGTTCCTCTGTGGTAATGGAACAGTTCTGCATCTTGGTAGTGGTGGTTACATAAATGTAGTTATCGGATAAAATTGCATAGACATGTGTACTTGATTGTAAAACATGGTGAAAATGAGCAAGGTCTGTAGTTTACCTAATAGTACTCTATCAATGTCAATTTCTTGTTTTTTGATATTATGCTACAGTTAAATAAAATGTCATTAGGAGAAGCTGAGTGACACATGTACAGGTCTCTATGTGCTATTTTTGTAAATTTCTGGGAACCTATAATTATGTCAAAATATTAAGTTTAAAAATTATAACAAGCAACAATAACCAAACCTCACCCTTTTTTTGTGGGGTGAGGTGGAAATGAAAGAGAAGGTGCTCATGGGGCAAGCAGCATAAATAATTTCTCCTAAAGGGTAGTATTTATGGTTTTTCTTAATACTAAGCCAAAACATCAGGTCCTGCCTCTGGTTTGGATGTTAGGCAGATATTAGATTAAAATATAGCTAATAAGGTAAATGTACTATAGCAGGCACACTGTAAATAGAACACACTAACTTTCACAAGAGTATGTGAAAGTTACGTCTGATAGATCTGCAGGCTGACAGCACCTCATATGATATATTCTACTTTTGTCTGTGCTGTCGGTATTTGGCTCCACCAATGCATTTCCCCATGAACTTGCTTCAGGCAGTTTATAGAAGAGAATTCTTCCCTCTAGCATCGTTATCTGTTAGAAAAAACAGTTATTGCATGTACATGACAGGAAACTTTGGAAATACAGATAAATAATAGAAAAAATTGCCTGTAATCTTGCCACCCAGAAATAAACACCACTGATGGAGTGGTCCCTGCTTATCCTTAAGGGATGTTCCAAAACCTCCAGTGGATGCTTGAAATGATGGAGAATACTGAACCCTATATATACAATATTTTTTTATATGTGCTTATGATAAAGTTTAATTTACAAATTAGGCACAGTAAGAGATTAATAATAATAATGAAATAGAACATTAATAGAACTAATAATGAAATAGTTATAACAATATGTCATAAAAGTCATATGAATGTGGCCCCTCCTTGTCATTCCACTTACTATGCATTCTAGCCATAACTCTTGCAGTTTTGAGGTACAGTGGCAAAACTAACAACTTTCTTTTCCTTCTTCACAATATCACATGATTCATTCGTACTATAGATCTTAGCAGACTTGGTGTACAATTCTGTCTTTATTAAGTTGAGAAATTTCACCTTTTCATTTAATGGAAGCACCTTACGGTTTCTCTTTGGCATATGCAAATTGCCAGCATCACTGCTCTTGCACTTTGGGGCCATTATGAAATAAAATAAGGGTTTCTTGAACACAAGTACTGTGATAATTATGACAGCACTGTGACAGCTGTGATAACCCATATGGCCACAAAGTAACTGATGGGCGGGTAGCATCTACAGTGCAGATATGCTGGACAAAGGGATGATTCACACATCCTGGGTTGGAAGGAGCAGGACAGTAACAAGATCTCATCACACTACTCAGAATGGCATGCCCTTTAAAACTATGAATTATTCATTTCTGGAATTTTCCATTTAATATCTTCAGACTGCAGTTGACTGTGGACAACTGAAATCACAGAAAGTGAAACTACTGATAAGGGGAGTCTACAATATTTGGTGCTTATTCCAATCTTTCTCTGTACATATAAGTGCTTTTAAAAATGAATATTAAAGCATACTTTTTATAAACTTATAAACCTATTGATAGGTGCACAGTACATTTATTTCCTCCAGATCATTCAGTACCTTTCCACTACATGATTTAATGACTGCATGGAATTGTACCCTGTGAATGAACTTACAGCATGTTAACCAATCTATGATTGGACATTGGGCTATTTCCAGTTTTCCATTAGAAACAATGTTGTGATGAACAATCTTTGTGCACATTAATGATTATTTCCTAGGATAAAGTCTTAGAAGTGGAATTGCTGGGTAGGCAAAATGTAAAAGCTTTCCATTTATATTGCCTAAGTGCTCTGCAGAAAAATATGCATCGTTTTCAAAAATGAAAATTGTAAACCAAAACCTGTTTGGACAACAAGACGCTCTATGTGAAGGGAAATTTAGGATCAGTTTCTTTAGAGTGATTCATTCCTCCTTAGAGCCAAATTGCCATTACCAAATAGATGTAATGTTTTTACAGAAAAAAAGAATAACATTGAGAATATCTAAATAAACAAGCTATGCAAGAATATTTTGCTGTTTTCGTTAATCAGTGAGAACAAAACAACTTACTAGCATGAAAAGATAAATAGAATGACATGCCACTAATAGGGAATGGGGTATTTTCATAGAGCTACATTTCCCTCTTCCTCCATTATATTAATTAAAATATATTTTTAAGCATTTTTCTTGTGCACATATACTACTTAATAAAGGAGAAGGTGCAAACATTTTTAAAATGGAGAAAATGTACTGTAGTCATAAGGTTGCTGAATGCTGTTGCATTTTTCTAGTTGTGAATGCCCTATGCTAGTGGGAATGGGGGTCAGGGTTCTAGATTAAAGATCACCTTTGATTAGGCATCTCCAGTCATTTGCTGGAGCACCTCGATTGTATCTTTTTCTGCATTTCTGTCCAGGTGAAAGTGTCCCTTTGATTGATTCGGTAACCATCAAACACAACTTGCTCTTTCTTGTTGAGAAGCTAAGTCCTTAACAAAAGGCTCCTTCTTGTGCTGCCGACTTCAAATAATTATGATCATTGTTTTTGGAAACAAGGCTTGGGTAATTTTAAAATAAAAAGTCTGAACTTTCAAGTAGGCCATGTATCATCAGTTTTTATTTTATTAGTTTCAAATAACAATCAATGAGTATACCCTAGAAAACAAGATATTGTGTTTCTGTATTGATTCCCCACACTGGAAAGCTGTTAAATGTTTAGATGCTGGAAAAGCAACAAGACAAATCCATGAGTGTCTGACATTTTTTTCTTCTTAGTTGTAAGCACGCCATTTTATATAGCGTGTGTGTGGTGGTGACATTTTGCTTGAATATAGTTTATGAGATCAAGGATACAAAGACCTCTTTTGCTTTCAATTCTGTGCTGATATTTTCTATCATTGTGTTTTACCAGTGTCATTGAAATTTCCCTCAAAGAGAAATTCCTTAGGAATCTCCTTGGAATTGGCAGTAAATACCCTTTATTGAAAGAGAGATTGGTTTTCTTTTATGAATTTTTTTTTCTGCCTCTGTCTGTTGGCTAACTATGGGAACTCCCTTTTTCATTCCTACTTTAATGTAATCTTTTCTAAGTTGGAAACAGCTTTGCAAAGAAGCTTGCAGGACATTCCAGGTGCTAAGAGTTCCTCTAACCTAGAATGAATTTTGCAGCATCTGGAAATGGCATATTTTTACCTGTTCTGATTTAAGGTATTTCTGTGTCATAGTGTAAGTTTGGCTCCAAGTGTTAAATACCAACTCCTGTTCTGGAAAGAATGCAGTCATAATTTAAGAACAAATTTTTCACCCAAAGCAGTGCCCTCTTTGAGTTTATCTACTTTCACTTCTACTCTGTGCTTTTACTTTCCTGTAAACTCATTATGTAAACTCCACTCCCACCCTGGCCCTTCTGAAATTTTTGTCAAACTGAAATGAACTGTTTTTCCTGGTGACCAGTGAGGCTTCATATAAAAGAAGATTTATGATAGATTTGCATGAGCAAAAATTATGTAGTTTTCTAAAGATTTCATACATATGCCCTTTAAAAATTATGTATATTTATTTATATATTAGATATATATGTATATCTCCTTGACTTTGACTTTTACATTTTTAACAAGCACTATTAAAATTGAATGTAAACTTGAAACGTAATGCAAAGAAAATTTAGTTTAACTCTGACCGCTAAAGAATTACTCATTTGGCTATGTCTTTTTTTAATCTAGATTTTTTTCTTCAATTAGTATTTCATACACCTGTTGAGAAATTTTTGTAAGGGACAAAGACACTTTCATGTCTTTCACATCAAGGATATTCATGTGATATCTAAATTTATATATTTATAGCTATACTCTGCTCAAACTCAACGTGAAAATTCGCGTTTTAAAATAGAAGGTGATTGCTTAAGAGTCAGCCTGGTGGACGTGAATTATTCACAAAAATACAAACTACCCTTAGTTTCACATGCCACGTTGATACAGTAAGGAATAGCTGAAGTTCTTGTGTAATGTATGTATTAAAATATTCTTAATTTATGCTTTATTGCACTTAAATGTGATTAAAATGCTAGTATATTGAAAATTATTGCTCTTTGTTACCTGCAAACTTACGTGTCTACTTTCTTTTTCTCCAACAGATATAAGCTTACCAAAGTCAGCAACAATATGCTACACAGCTGCTTTGCTCAAAGCAAGGGCTGTTTCTGACAAGTAAGTGAATAATAACTTTGGTGGTACTAATGCTTGACTGAATTAAGATGTGTTGCCTCTCAGGGCTTTCTCTGGAAGTTTCTCTTAGTCTATGAGACCCCTGCTTATAAGCATGCATTTTCCAAAACCTGCTGTTGTTTTCTTTCACTATTAGAAGGAGGGAATGTATATCCTCGGGTATTATAAGGGTGTGTAAAGAAATCCTAAAGAGGGATTTATTTGAAATTCCATACCTCTGAGATGACTTTTTTTTGCGTGAGACAGTAGATACCAAAACACCTGCTTGGGACTTACACAGAATGCCATCATTCTATTTGTTTTTTGCACATTCCTCTCCTGTCAGCAGTCCACGACTGGGTAGTGTCATACACACGTAAAATGTGGCAGAGGGGATAGTCATCTCTCATCCTTTGCCTCATCGACTCCAAATTAGCTACCCCCCCCGACCCAGGATCTGTTAACTTTGAGTTGCCATCTCAATGGGATGTTTGCCTATTTTATTCAGGCAGGTGACTATGGCATATAGAATTTTCATAAGCTTCCAAGGATGCCTGTCAGGTGAAAAGAGCATAGATGGCTTAACTACTTTTGAGTTCGTAAACTCTTACACTTCCCCGGTACAATCCCTCTGTGGCATTGAAAGCAGAGAACAGGAAAACAGCTTCTGCTGTGTCAGACAGGTTTGCTGTTAAGTGTGTGTGCACTTCAAGATCGAAGTAATTTTCTTTCATTCTTTTTTATCCTGTAGATCGCCAGTACCTACTGCAACATCTTTTCTCCCTACACAGCGACTCCAGCTTGGGAGGGCAGGGCCAGGGTTGTCACAGCTTCCCCTGTGGTGTCTGCCTGCCAAGCACAGCTCTGGAGTTAGCCCTGGGTGTGAGGTGAGAAAGAGATTGCATGGTCTGGTTTTTTTCATTCATTCGGGCAGGTGTCTCGCCCGCAGTTTGGGCATGCACACGCCCCCTGCCGGAATGGCCCCAAGCAGACTCACCTGCTGCTGAAGCTGCAACGATTTAACCTCCATCGCAGCACTGACATTGGGTGGGAGGCCTCATTTCAAATCCTCCCCAGTTCTGTTTTTAACCAAGTACCCTCTTCTGTAACCTAGTTTTCTCTTTTTCCTACACTGTCTGCCCTTGTCAGTCCTACCTCTTCCCCTGACCTGAACAGGTACCTCGTAGAAGATTTAGATTAGCTATTTAGACAGAGACTTGACAGCTGAATTTAACCCCTGCCATGATTAGAATGCAAGCACGCTTTCTGCTTCTGCTGGGGTTTTTGCCGGCCTCAGTCTGAGGGGTCACTCAGAGGTTCCATGCAGTAGAAGTTTGGAGAGCTCATGCCATTGGCTCACTGTGGTTTTATGGGCCCTTGATATCTAGATATTTTCAGGTTGATGCCCAAGCAGTGGTCCCAACTGGATGGTTTTTGTCTTTCTGCTTTTCAGATTCTCTCCTGAGGCTGCATCTCGGCGGGGGCTGAGCACAGCAGAGATGAATGCGGTAGAGGCCATTCATAGAGCTGTGGAATTCAATCCTCATGTGCCAAAAGTGAGTCTGTGGAATCCCCACAGGAACTCGTTATGATAGCAGAGAAAGCATTCATTGGCCATGGTGTCATATCTCGAGTACACTGGTTATAAAAAAATGAATTGCAACCAACAAATGTTGAGGCCCTGTATAGTATATGGGCATTTGCTTCATTTTAAGTAAAAGCTACACTCAAGAGGCTTTGGGGCAGATTCCAGACTTCACATAATAAGGATAAATTGATAGACCTCGCTGGGGCAGGTTAGGAAGTCTGAAATTGGCAAAAAGTAGTAGATGTCCCAGGAGTGTTGAAACATTTGATAGGAATTTCACACTAGTTATGGTCTTACATAGACCAAGCTCAGGAAATAAATGTTGCGAATAAAACTGGTAAAAAAAAAAAATACCCACTAATGTGGCATTCCATGTCTACATAAATAAATGACAGTTAATCAGTATTAGCAAGAAAATAATAGAGAAAAACTAAAAATATGAAGAAGTATTTTGCTTTGTGAGTACCGTTTTAATAAGTATATGTAGTAGAAAATATTTTTCTTGGTTTTTAACCACATGGTTGAACAATTTATAAATACCCAATATTTCCAATTTTTTTTTCTGAAATTAATTTCAAGGGAATCAGATCAGAGCAGAGGATATTTCTGTAATCTTTTATTCAGGAGATGAATGTGTATTTATTATTTACCTATATTTAACTACCTGCTCTGTGATAGGCAGGAAGCCAAGAGGCACTTTCACTCTCACTATTAAGTACATTTTGACCGCTAAGAAACTTACTGTAATTTACCTCAGGTATAACAAGCCATAACTTTCTTGGTAAAATGTCTGATGAATACTAACTGGTGAAAAATGACGAAGGAAGGCTGTTTTACTCGTGTTGTAGTATGATAGTTAAAGGGTCGTGGGGGTATAAGTGAGAGAGAGGGAGATGATTTATGGAGTTAACTACTTTATTTTGTAAATAAATAAGTGATCTAATATCATTCCTAGGATTTTACTCAAGTCTAGGTCATTTTTTTTTTCACTTAGTAGGAAACTAAGTGCCACATTTGCATAAGGATGTATTTATTCATTAGTTCTAATGGGTAATGACCAACATAGTATTTGTAGATTTATGTATTGTACATATGGTGCTATAAATATATCTCTTTATATAATATTTTCATCTAAAATAAAAACATTTATTCTACTTTGACTAAAATTTAAAACTAATCATGAAAAGATTATCCTGAATTACGGTAAACTGAGGTCATCTATTACTTACTGAATGCCATTCTCTACAGAGCTATTCATTAAGCATAAATAAGGCTCTTTTAGAGTAGCATTGAGCAATAACTCATGGATTCTGAGGCAAAAGCTTGTGTTCCACTTCTGGCTCTGTCATTTATCAGCCATTGGACATTGGGCTTAGCATCTCTCAGCTCAAAGTTGTCCCTTATCCTTAAATGAAGATAAAAATATAAGCCCTATTTCTGTGTTAAAGATCAAGTGAGATTATATATTTGAAGTTCTTTGAACACACCTGAGCACCACTTATTTGTAAAGTATTAAACTTTTTGATATTTGATTTGCTGGTGGCTCCTCATATCTAGGAACCAAATCTTTTATTGTGATCCTAACTAGAGCCTTGCAATCCTGGGGCACAAGACAGAAAGTCACTACAGTGCTTGTTGGTTAGATATTTTGATGGAAGTAGTCATTTAATACTGTAAAACTGGTCTGAAATGGTTACTTGGGCCTCTAGAAGAATATCAAAAGCCCTAAGAAACACTTTAAAACTGCCATGGAAGAATTTGAGACTGTTAAATAGGATTCCACCTGCAAAATAGTATTATTCTAAAAGTGGAAACATTTCAAATATTTGATTGCACTCTACTTTCTAATCATGAAACTGAGAGAAGGTAAACCACCTAGGTAAACTGATTCTACAGCAATTTGCCTTGTTGGTTATTGTGCTGAGGGAGAGATGTGTTTCCAGATGGGGAATAGGTCTTGGGATTTACTGGCCCCATCTATCAAGAATTAGCCACAAACCTCTAATATACAGCATGCAGTGTGCTCTAAATATCTTTTATAAGTGTGTGCTGTTTATTGGGCAGCTTGCTAATACTTTCGCAAATACGTACACACACATGCGCACACAATTGGTGCCTTGGAGGCAGAGAATAATAGCCTTAGTTCTAATAAGACATCAGTAAAGGATATAAACTTGTGGACTCTTGGCATAAGAAGGGCCTTAAAGATCATCTAGGTCACCTTTCCATCCTAACCTTGACACTCTCCTTATAATGATACTGTGATAATCATTTTTATTATTGGTTTCTTTTGAATGTTATGTGCCAAGCCCAGTGCTAACTGGAGTACATAAACCCCTCTCACTTATTTTTCATAATGACTATATGAGGTGTATTATGTTATTATCCCTGTTACATAGATGAGGGTACTGAAGGCTTGGAGAGGTGAAATAATCTGCTCATGGTCATACAGAAAATAAATGACAGAGCCTGAAGCAATTCTGGGTTATCTGCTCTTAAATGTTGCCCTCTGCTGCCTCCCACATCACACCAGGGAACAGACCAGCCTGGGCTTGGACCCATCAAATGCTGGCAGGCACATTGCTTCCCAAGGCATTCAATCCTTTAAGGACAATTCGGGTTTCTTCAAGATATCTTAAATGATACGACTTCCATGGCTTCTTTTTCTCTATCACAGGAAGTTGTTGGTGGCTCACCACAGGAATTTTCAGTATCTACATGCTGTATTATGTAATTACCATCTTCTCTGAGGGAGGAAAAAAATACCAAATATAATAACTGAGAACTGCCTTCCATACATTTCCAGCTTTGTTTCATCTGGTATCCCATTAAGCAAAGATACATAGGTAATATTTCACCATCCAATGATAAATACTAGTCATTTACCTTAGGAGGGTTGCTCTTAGGAACTCTCTTTACCTCCTGACATGAGGAGTAGGGAGGAAGGGTTGCTTCTTATCACATCACAGGACTGGGAGATAAATTAGAACAATAAGAAACCCCTTGTCTCTGTTCTGAATGAGAGCCCCTTAAGTGGTCACTTAGATGCGAAACACTAGAATTTCTGAAGTATTAGATTGCAGCAAACTAGTAAAGAGGAAGCAGACACATAGGCTCTTCATTACCAAGAGAACTGTCACTCCCTCTTGAGAAACTAGCTGTGCCACCAGCTCCCATAGGAAAAGGCATAAACTCCTTGGGAGATTCTTCAGTACCCTTCATAATCTGACCCAACTTGTTTTTCTTTTTTTCCACCTTGCAACCATTTGTTCATCATTCCAGAAACATTCTCTTCCCTTTCCTTCTTCACTTCCTCTGAGGAAACCCTGTTCCTCCTTCACCACCATCACTACCATTAAGAGTCATCAGGAAGCTTGTTCTTCCTCATCAGAATTAGTCTCTCTCCTTTGTGGTCTCTCATTATAATGCATTGATTATGTCCTTTTTTTTGAGGACAATTGGGGATGTTAATGATGCTGGTGATTTTCAACAACTGAGAACAAAACTCAAGAAGACAAAGAAGTCTCGAATCCATTAGAGGATGTTTTCTGTTTAATGGGATTAAAATAGCTTTGCATTTAAAGAAAATTCCATTCATGTAATGCTGAACAGACAAAGGACTGCCTTCATCCCAGTTCTATACCTTCATCTTTGTGTTGCTGTAGTTTACTGGATTTGGGGCCTTCTTTCTGCAGATATGCTCCTCTGCTCACCCTGCTCTTCCTCAGTAGTCTGGAGATTTACATTGGGGTGGGGGTGAGGGGAGACATTTCTATCAGTGACCCATCAGCTACACAGATCTGAGTTAACGAGAGCTTACGTGCCCTTAGTCTGCTGTAGCCACACCACAAGCCTTTCACTGCAAGAAGACACAGTTTTGTTTTGGAAGATGTTACATTAACTCCTTCAGGGCACCAAAGTTAAACTTTCATTTTCTGACAAGTTTCTGAAAGGTGGGCTAAATTATTTTTTGTTATGGGCAGTATCAGATATGTCTTTTGCGATATAAAAACAATTTACTTATATTTCAGACTCTAGCCTTTTTTTCCTAAGCATTTTAAATACTATCATAAAAATAATAGCATAGGGCCCTTAACATGGACTTTATGGTTGGGTATTGGGGTATATTTGTTTCTGAGGGAAGATTAACAGATGCTCAGAATTCTTTAACCTTAAAAAGGTTATCCTCCAACTTAAGTTCAAGTATTTTATCCATGTGCCTTCAGAGTCTTTTAAGACAGTTTCTATAACTGGGTACTTCTTTTTTATGGGTGTGAGGTAAAAAACATGTAACATGAGTTCTACCCTCTTAACAAATTTTTAGGTGTACAGTACAATCTTGTTAACTGTATTAGTCCATTCATATGCTGCTAATAAAGACATACCCAAGACTAGGTCATTTATAAAGAAAAGAGATTTAATTTGACTCATAGTTCAGCATGGCTGGGGAGGCCTCAGAAAACTTACATTCATGGTAGAAGGGAAAGTAAACACATCCTTTTTCACATGATGGCAGGAAGTAGAAGAATAAGCAAAAGGAAGAAAGCCCCTTATAAAACCATCATATTTCGTGAAAACTCACTAGCATGAGAACAGCATGGAGATAACTGCTCCCATGATTCAGTTGCCTCCCACCAGGTCTCTCCCACAACACGTGGGAAGAGATTTGAGTGGGAACACAGCCAAACCATATCATTAACTGTATGCACATTGCTGTACAGTAGATCTCTGGAACTTTTTCATCTTGCACAGTTGAAACTCTATTCCTGTTGAATAGCAACTCCTTGTTTTGCCCTCTCCCTAGCCCCTGGCAAGCACCATTGTACTCTGCTTCTATGAATTTGACTATAGATACCTCATGTCAGTAGAATCATGTTTTATTTGTCTTTCTGTGACTGGCTTATTTTATTTAGCATAATGTCCTCAAGGTTCATCTATGTTATAGCTAGTATATGACAGAATTCTCTT